GGTGCTCTTGCCACAACTGATGGTCCAGAAGCTGCTACCTCAACATGAGTCAAGATAAAGTGCACTAATTACCCACTTGTGTTTGCATTATTCTCCTAGTCTTGAGATATTAAGGTTAATAAGTTCGTTATGTTTTTTTATGCTAGGATGTCTAAACAAAAGAAATTCCTTCCGATTAAAAGTGGCACATGATTTGATTAGGTAATGTATTTAGCATCCATTTCACATTTAAATTATTCAGAGTTGGAGAATAAATACCACCTAGTTCGTTCTTAACAAAGCCCTTCCTCAAAGGAAAGCGACTATAGCTAGGGTACTGGGTACACTCCATACAAACAGCATGTTACTTGCCTTGGCACACGTGTGGGACCCCAGTGCACAGTACGTACACGTGGCACATGCACCCAACGCTTATTATACTAAAAGGGCGTACCCAGTGCAGAGAGCTCCTGCTCTGTGCGGGGTCTAGGAAAGTGTGTCAATGGTAAGCCTTACCCTCGTCTGTGCAATGCGAGGAGACCGCGACTCGAACTCGGGACCTTCCGGTCATATACGGTAAGACTCTACCGCTTGCACTAGGCCCGCCCTTCCCAACGCTTATTATACTATAGTACTAAAATGATAAAAGTTTGTTTCATGATAAATAGTGTCCAGGATATATACACACACAAAGTGAACCTATACTAATCATTCCCCAGCATGTTAATCTCATGATTAAATTTGGCCACCACCCCACTTGAACACAAAGTGATCCAGGCCCAGGGAACTAAACCCCACCAATTGCGTGACCATGAACCATGCATTCCAGAATCCAACACCCAAGGCGGGGAAAAGATATTCACCTTCCACCAGGTGTTCTTTTACGTGAGTGGTGAATCCTTCTCTTGTGTTTCTTTTGGAAACTTGGGGTGGAGTGGATTCTCTAAAGCAGTTTCTAATAAAGCAGACTTGTTACAGGTTTGAATTAAGAAAAAGAGGAAGGCAAGAAACCGGAAATTGATAAAGGTTGAACTGAGAATCGTGTCTCCTTTTTTTTATTTCAAGTATATATGGAAGCACTTATGTTACTGGTAATAACTAACTTGGTTTTAATTAAAATCCCATTTATACCAAAAGTTCTTTTGAGCCTTGTATGCCGTAGTTGTTGCTCATCTATCCAGCCAAATTATGTTGTTGATGGGTTATATATGGAATGACACTTCAATTAATATGGTCCAGTTTGGCACATGCAGACTTGCTATCCTGTTTCTTTTTTTTTCACAAATTAAACAGAAATTATACCAAATAGCATGATCCTATAGCAATTTATTAGTAAATAGAATCCAAGACTTTTCACTAGCGCTTCCAAAAAGCAAATTCTCACAATCACAAATTCACACCCAAATTTCAACCACTACACCTTTGTCTCCCATCCAAACCCTTGCGGGGCGCGCAATTCCTCTTTCCGCTCTTTCCCTGAAAAAATAGACTTGGCCTCACAAATCTTTTTTGTGCAAGACTTGAATGATCATGAAGACTAGATTTTATATATGTCATGATGGATGCACATGTTCTGGGTCTATTATTATTGTAGACATAGATAAAAATGTTGCATTGCATTTATTAGATAAACCACATGTCAGATCAGGGTTGAGAAAAATTGTGGAGACATGAACCAAAGGTTTGCGGAAAAATTCAAAATTGCATCTTCTCTCATTGAATGGAACCTAGGTGTAGGAGGTGCCGAACTACCTCACAACAAGGTTAGATGTTTTCTAGTTTCGTGCACCCCTATAATCCATACCTCCAATAGTTGTTTGAAAACACATGCACAATTTTTTTGAGAGGACATTTATCTCTAACAAACGATTAATATATAGGCTTATTTTTCAAATTTTCTATTTGTGTTTTCCTTAAAAAAACAAAATCCTAAATTTCTTAGACATCGCATTCTAAGAGATAAGAACATATCCCCTTTTGAAAACTTGGGTGGAGTGGATTCTCCTACAGATTCTAGAGCAAAGTTGTTAATATGTTAGTCCAGGTGTAGTTTCTTGTGTTCCAATGGAGATTCCAATTCAAGAAAGGGCCGACATGACACTAGAAATTCACAAAGGTGAAACTGAGAACCAAGCTTTTTTCTTTCATATCTCTTTGTATGGAACACCTATTTTATCTTAGTGAAAGTAAAAACACTTATTTACTGCCATGTAACTCCATGTTTTATGGGTTTAACATAAGAACCTTGCATTTTTGTAGTTGTTGTCATGTATCAAGATTCAAGCCAACAACGCACCACTACAGATCATGTTATGGTTGGTCACTTGTCATATTGGAGTATAATAGAGTTGTGGGAATCAAACTCTAGTGGACTGACATCCACCCTTATCGGACATAGTCAAGTTTGGCACATGTTATTTCCCAGACTTTTTATATATCAAACAACAGTATTCTACAGCAAATTATCAATAAACTGAATCCTAGGCTTTTCATTGGTGTTCCAAAAAGCAGATTCTGCCAATCACACAGAAATTAACCACGACTCCTTTATCTCCCAACCAAACACCTATGGCAGCACACACTTTGTCTCTTCTCCGCCCCTCCTAGTAAAAATAGACCCTGACTTATTCTAGTGCAAAAAAAGGTCTATTTTTTATGCTAGGATGTATAATAGAATATAGTTATTATTAGCTAATAGAAGTTTGAGTAATTAAAACCCATTATATTAGTTAACTGATTTATTCTAACGTTCTATTTGTGTTTTCCTTTAAAATCAAGAGCCTAACTTTTTCTTAGACATCACATTCTAAGAGGTATGAACATATCCTTTTTGAAAAACTTGGGTGGAGTGGATTCTCTTACAGATTCTAGAGCGGAGTTGTTAACTTTAGTCCATTGTAGTTTCTTGTGTTTCAATGGAGAATCCAATTCAACAAATGGCCGACACCAAATCAGAAATTCACAAAGGTGAGACTGAGAATCAAGTTTTTTCTTTCATATCTCTATGTATGGAAACACTTATTTTATCTTAGTGAAAAAAGAAACACTTATTTACTAAAATGTAAAGGTTTTATGGGTTTAAATTTGAGTCTTGCATTTTGTTGTTGCTGCCATGTATCAAGCCAATGACGTAGCAATACATATTATGATGTTGGTTGGTCTCTTGTCATATTGGAGTATATAGAGTTGTAGGAATCAAACCCTAGTGGTCGAGTGATGTCCACCCTTACCATACACGGTCCAATTTGACACGTGCTTTTCCTCGGTTTTTCACAGATCATACGGCCGGATTCTACAGCAGTAATCCAGTAGATTATCCATAAACAGAATCCAAGACTTTTCATTGGCTCTTGCAAAAAGCAGATTCTGACAATCACATAGAAATTAACCACCATCGCTTGTCTCCCAACCAAACACCCGTGCCGGTGCCGTGCACACTCCCTCTTTTCTTTTCTGCCCCTCCCTGTAAAAATAGACCTGGTCCTAGAGAATTCTTTTCTAGTGCAAAAAAGGCCTGAATTGCCATAGATCAATTCTCGTTTGATTACTTTGAGAACAACTACAACAACTGGTCACATCCTTAAAAAACTCTTCCCCTCCCCTGCATCTACATCGGGTCGGAGGAAGAGAGGAGGCAGCCATCACCATGTTATTCGTCCTGCCCTACCACTACCATCAGTACCAGTAGTCTCCATCTCCCCTAATAGAACACAATATCCTCCTCCGAGAAGCGCTCGCTTCTTCTACTGCTGCTGCTTCGGCTGGTCAGAGGACCGCTGTGCTCCCATCCTATGCAAAAAGGTCTATTTTTATGCTAGGATGTATAATAGAATATAGTTATTATTAGTTAATAGAATTTTGAGTAATTAAAATCCCATTATATTAGTTAACTGATTTTTCTAATGTTCTATTTGCGTTTTCCTTTAAAATCAAAAGCCTAACTTTCTTAGACATCACACGCGTTCTAAGAGGTATGAACATATCCCTTTGAAAAACTTGGGTTGAGTGGATTCTCTTACATATTCTAGAGCGGAGTTGTTAACTTTAGTCCATTGTAGTTTCTTGTGTTTCAATGGAGAATCCAATTCAACAAATGGCCGACACCAAACCAGAAATTCACAAAAGTGAGACTGAGAATCAAGTTTTTTCTTTCATATCTCTATGTATGGAAACACTTATTTTATCTTAATGAAAAAAGAAACACTTATTTACTGAAATGTAAAGGTTTTATGGGTTCAAAATCCGAGTCTTGCATTTTAGTAGTTGCTGCCATGTATCAAGCTAACAACGTAGCAATACATATTATGATGTTGGTTGGTCTCTTGTCATATTGGAGTATATAGAATTGTAGGAATCAAACTCTAGTGGTCTAACGGTCCAATTTGACACGAGTTATTCCTTGGTTTTTCACCGACGGTTGAATTCTGCTGCAGTAGATTTTGATAAACAGAATCCAAGACTTTTTTATGGAAAGAATCCAAGACTTTTCATTGGCTCTTCCAAAAGCAGATTCCGACAAGGTGACGATCACACAAAAATCAACCACCACCGCTTTATCTCCCAACCAAATACCCATGCCGGTGCCGTGCACACTCCTCTTTTCTACCCCTCCTGTAAAAATAGACATAGTCCCAGAGAATTCTTTTCTAGTGCAAAAAAGGCCTGAATTGCCACGGAGCAATTATCGCTTCATTACTTGAGAAGAACTACAACAACTGGTCACATCCTTCAAAAACTCTTCCCTTCCCCTGCATCTGCATCGGGTCGGAGGAAGAGAGGAGGCGGCCATCACCATGTTATTCGTCCTGCCCTACCACTACCTTCAGTACCAGTAGTCTCCCTCTCCCCTAATGGAGCACGATATCCTCCTCCGAGAAGCACTCGCTTCTTCTACTGCTGCTGCTTCTGCTGGTCAGAGGACCCCCGTGTCCCACGCTCCCATCCTATGCATGCTGCCGGCACCTCAGGGTCAGCCGGTCAGGGCTGCGCCGCTTTGCACGCCCCCGCCACGACGGCCTCCCCTACGCTGAAGAAGAGGCGGTCCGACCCGAAGGTATCCCCACCGCCGAGTTGAAAATCCTCTCCGCCACCGATCCCAACGGGTTGGCAAGCACCAGCTGCACGCATGCGGCAAAATCCAGTCATTTGGCAATCCAAATCGATGAACAGCAGCTATGTAGCAACATCAGCCAGCAGCTGTATGCATGTGTACCTCGATGTTTCTTTTGTCCAGGACTTTCTTCAGCTCCGACAGCGCGTCCAGACCGCTCGTGTCGATCGCCGTGACGGCTGCAAGAATCGAACAAGATCCACATGATGACATGAAGCGAGTAATAACTTAATATAACTACAGTTCCATGGCGCTAGCTAAGCTAGCTAGCTCACCGCTCATGTCGAGGACGACGGATCGGATGGAGGGGAGGTTGGACTTGAGCGCGCGCTCCTCCTCGTCGCGGAGGTACCGCAAGACCCGCTCCACCAGGTACATGGAGTTAGCGAAGTAGATGGCCGACTCGACGCCGACGACGAGGAACGCCGGCACGCGCACGGCCTCCCGGTACTGCGCCACGCTGCGGTAGCTCTGCGTGCCGGGGACCAGGCCTTCCACCACCAGGTTCGGCCGCGTCACCTGCAGCAGGATCTTGAACAGCGAGATGCCGACGGCGATGGCGAGGCCCATCTGCACGGACACCAGGAGCACTCCCAGGAACGCGGACACGCACGCCAGGAAGTCCAGCTTGTCCACCTTCCACAGCTTGGCGGCGCCGCGCACGTCGATCAGCCCTATCACCGCCGTGATGATGATCGCCGACAGGATCACGTTCGGGGTGTAGTGGAACAGCGGCATCAGGAACAGCAGCGTCACCAGCACCATCGCCGCCATCACGATGTTGGACACCGCCGTCTTGCACCCCGCGCTGTAGCTCACCGCCGACCGGGAGAAGGAACCCGTCGTCACGTAGCAGGAGGCGCAGGAGCCGGCCATGTTCATGATCCCGATCGCCATCATCTCCTTGTTCCCGTCCACCTGGTAGTTGTTGATGGATGCGAATGTCCTGCCCACTGCAATCCCTTCCTGCATTTTTTTAAAATTTTTTTCGAAATAACAAATCTCCTTCAGCTAGCTGGGTCAAAATGTAAACTTTCATGCATTTTGAAATCAAAATCACAAATTCACATCACTGCAGTGCAGTTTCATGGAAATTTGACTTACAGTTAAGGACAAGATGCCTGTCATGACCCCTGTTTTGATCGCCAGCGCCACGTAGGAGCCGCTGAAGGTGAGCATGTTCGCTGAAGGTGGGTTCACTCCCCTGGGGAGGATGCCAATCTGTGTTTTGCAGAAAGTGAAACGATATTTTAAGAAAAGATATTTACAGATGAAGCAACGAATAATTATTATTTTTCTTTGATTTGAGGTCTGAATCAGGGAACTGATTCAGATTGGCTATACTGAAGATACTTACAACACTGATGGTGGGGATTTCCAGATGTAGGAGAGGATGGTGGAGATGATCACTGACGCCAGGGGAGCACCTGCTGCTGCCAAGAAAAGCTTTGGGTTCCTTTTGCTCTGAAAAAATATATACAGCGAACAAAATTAGAGGTTGATAAGTTTGTCTGTCATTCATTGCTTTTATAATCTCAACAAGACAAACTAGATAGATTTGTGTACTGTAAATTACTAGTAGATACTAGAATTTTTAGGAGTATAAATAAATAAATTATGTAAAAAGCTGTTGATTTTGGAGGCACTGATTTTTTTGAAGATTTCTCAGGCATCGCCCCAGCAGAGTGGAATTCTCAGACTGACACTTTTAATCATATCATACCAAGTGACAAGGAGCAGCGTCCTTCTTAAGCAAATTTTATCTGCAGCTAGCTAAAAGAGTGATGAAACTATAGCCACTTGTCATGAGTGATGGCGAATCATTTACAGTCTCAACTCTTTTTTTTCCTCGAATACGCATGTGCATATCATTGTATTAGAAGAAAGAGTTTATAATACAGTCTCAACTCTCATGGAGGTGCTTGTCGATCAATCCTTTTCTGGAGATATTGGAATTTGGGAAGTGGTGATATATCATGCACAGATGGCCATGGCCAACTTGTTGGATATTAACAGGTGACACATCAGAAGCCAAATCAGACGCATTCTCCTCAAAAAGGGCATTGGGCGAGGTTCCACTGGTGCTTTGTCAGAATAGATTCTAAAGCCACAAGCACACGTCTTACTCTATCTGATCTGATCCATGTGGTTTAGCCATGTGAATGCTTGCTAACATTCTATCAACACACACAATTGGTACTTGCAAGTTCACACCAGACTATTACTATTCAAACAAAGTGCTGCTTCAAAATACATGTGTGCTTCAGCAATATATGCTTGGTTCTTGTTTACTTGAAATAAAACAGTGGTGCTTTTGTTTTTAAAATAAAAGGGAAACAAAATGATGCTTTAAACTATTCCCAATTTATAAATACACAACCTTAAAGAGGAAACACTTTTTGGCACCATGTTTCAGTCCATTGATAGCTAGCTTGGAAGATTAGGCCTGGTGCCTGGTGAGGACAACTTTTCTTGGCATACCAACTGTTTAGTCGAGTCAAGTAACTCTGAACCATTTTTCTTTAAGTATACTGCATAGAGCACAACTAGCTTGGATAACTAACTGAAACCGTTCAAAAGGTCCTAAATTAGGGAACTATGCCATGCTGATTTTTGTTATAGAAAATATTTCTTTTACTGTGACAATGTGTTGAACTTAGGGAATATATTTGTAATAAGGTAAATGGATTGAAAGGAGTTCCTTTTCTTTTTTGGGTGGGGTGGGGTGGGGGTGAGGGGATATGTCAACATTACTAGGTCCCAAGAAGCAGGAGGTGGCTCTTAATCACCCCATGAATTATTAGACATTTCTTAAACTATGCAGTGAGTCAAAAATTCCTTGTTAGTGGCAGGCACCCTTTGGGCCCCTCCATGAACTCAGGGTTTGAATCACCACCTTCCTTTTTTGCAGCCCCATCTTTCCTAGAAGCTAAGCTAAGCTACCTGTCCATCCAAACACCATGGTCAGAAAAATCGTAGAGAATTTTGCCGACTGATGATTAACCAATCAATCTAACTGCATCTGCCCTTTAGCTTTTAATTTAAGAGAAGAAAAAGTGACAGAGATCAGATTCTACCCGGTTTCGTTTACACCTGTCGTTGTCGCGGGAGAAATGCGAAACCACTTGTACAAACGGTCCGTGTGACATTTTGTATGTGCGGCTACTGTTACCCTGCTAGCTTTATTTCTCTCTTACTACTAATAGTAATTAGTTGTTTAATCTTAGTAATTTCATTCCTGCCTTTGTTCTTTTTTTTGAGGGAACAGGAGAGGCCCGGAGGCCTCTACTGAAAATTTATTGAAAAAAAACGTAACCAAGGTGATTACAGAAGGACAAAGGCAGGCAAACTAGAAACAGAGTTCTGGACACAAAGAAGGATTGTGATAACTAATCAGATGGAAATGGAATCCGGTACATGCATGCATGGTTCAAAAGAAATATACATAGTAAAGGTGAATGATGAATAACCAAATGATTAAAGAGCAGAATTAGAGAGCTTACGATTTGGCGCGTGAGGAGGAGGATGGCGAGGAAGGCGCTGCCCATGACGATCGTCTGCCACTTCCACTGCATCCATTGTCGACGTCACCAGCAATTGTGAGAACGAGGATGATTTGTTGCGTAGCTGGTGAATTTTATACCAGACGCAGACAGTCTTGCTGCTCTGTCATTGCCGGCCGGCCGGATCACGATCGGCGGGCGACGACAGAGCAGTCGCACAGAGCACGAGGATGTACCTCGTCGTGGCGGTTGACGACGGAGCGCATGACGTCGACGAAGCCCATGTGGGAGGTGAAGTGGACGATGCCGAGCAGGCTCTTGAGCTGCTGCAGCGACACGATGACGGCGGCGCCGCCCATGAAGCCCGTCAGCGTCGGCTTCGACAGGAAGTCGACGATGAAGCCCAGCCTGCGATATATGCCGATGCATGGAATGGACGCGCATGTGTGATGAGCTGCTCTGCTCTACTCTGCCGCGCCAGCCAATGGAACAGTGTTGGTTGGTTCAGAATGGCACCTGAGGAATCCCAGGGACGCCTGTAAGGCGCCGGCGAAGAAGGTGGCGGTGAAGGCGAGCTGCAGGTACAGGATGGGCTGCTCGTCCGGCGACACGGCCTCCCGGAGCATGGACCCCATCACCAGCGACGCGATGGAGACCGGCCCCACCGCCAGGTCCCGCGAGCTCCCCAGCAGCGAGTAGATGAGCGGCGGCACAAAGCTGGAATCTGCTTGCATGCATGCACCAAACAAGGCTCAGAGATTGAGATTGCTCCTACCAATTTGGAATTTGCAGGAGCATCTCGAAGAAACTCACATAGGCCAATGATCGGCGGCAGGTTGGCGAGCTTGGCGTAGCTGATTCCCTGCACGGCGACGGCAACAACGGCAACCGTGTTAGAGGTAGTTATTACGCGCCGCACGCCGGCCGGCCTATATTCTGGGCTGTGCCATAAAAAAGACCGTGCCAAAAGTAGCTAGGAAATGAATGAAGACGAGGGAGGGAGGGAGGGAGGGGTGGAGAAGCAGGGGAAAGCAGAGCACGTGCCTGCGGGATGGCGAGGCTGGCAATGGTGAGGCCGGCGATGAGGTCGGAGCGGAGGAGGCTGGGGCTGTAGGCGGACCCCCACTGGAAGATGGGGAAGAAGTACTGCAGCGCCAGCACCAGGCGCCGCGCCGACGACTGGTTCTTGAACTGGTGCAGCGGGTCGTCGGGGAAGAACACCTCGGCCAGGCGCTGCCGCAGCGCCTTCGCCGTCGTCCGCCGCTCCGGCACCGACACCTTGTGCAGCTCCAGCACCGACGCCGACGCGGACGCGGTGCCCTGCCGCGTCACGGGCGCCGCGGGACGAGCCGGCGCCGGCGACGACGACGCCGGAGGTGGCGCTGCCGCCGCCGCCGCGGGCGGCGGCGCCTCGACGTCGTACGACAGGCTGTCCACCTTGTTGTTCGCAACCATGCCGGCTGGCTGCTGGTCAATCGCTGCTAGCTGGTCGATGGCGTGCGTGGTCCCCGTCGGTTATCGCCGGCAAGGGCGGCGACCGACGCGCGTGGCCGTGGGCGGCCTTGTCGATTTGGGCTTTTAATTCTTGCCCTCGCTTCCGTCCTGCAACGGCAGGGGAGTGAAGAGAGGGAGGAAGGTGTTTGTTGTTGGCTTGCTGGATGGATTCTTGCGGAGGAGGAGGAGGCCGCGGCACCTTTATAGGGAGGGAGCCGGGAGCGAGAGGCCGGAGGCGGGACAAGCCCAGAAGCCACCCCGGTTTGAACCACGGTCGACGAGTGAACCAACACAAGAGGAGAGGAGAAGAGAGACAGAGACTACTTACTGGTGGTTAATTTGGGTGCGCCTATTACTGGCGAAATCGTCTTGTAGGATTTGAGGCACATGGATGCATGGAGTTTAACGGAGCACTGTGGATTATCTTGGAGGATTTGTTTCGTCTTTTAATTCTTTTTTAAGAGTGTCTAGTTATCTATCAACAAATTTTATGTGGTCAGATCTGTTTTTTTTTTGATAGTTATAGCATAAATCCTAAAGCACAATCAAATGTATAGAACTCGGACAGATTTAATGCCAAAAAATCTATCATCAGATAAATAGCAAAAGTCTTCTTGTTAATTGGTAAGTCTTCTTATTAATTGGTATAGATGTATACGGTATAAACCAAGTAGGTTGTGATGGGTTGACTCCATTTTTTTTTAAGGTATTTGGTTTCGAGACTTGAGAGGTCGGATTTCTCTCGCAAGAGAATATTCCTCACGGATGCAGGTTTAAACGGCTACTTAAAATCAAGCGGATGAACCAACCCACTTGGTGCGCATTTGTGCGTGGGCGAGGGGGTGGCGGCACGGGCCATAGTATGGGGTGGCAGGTGTAGGTGATTCACAATGCTCGGGTTGAGGAGGCGTGTAAGCAAGCGAGTTGGAGCGTAGGGCATCAGCAAACGTAGGTGAGCTAGAGCGTGGGTGGCAGTGGCATAGAGCATGGTGCGGGAAAGGAGAAGAAAGCATACATGACATGTAAGCCTCATTTATCAGGTACTTCATTCCGTCGTCTGTTTACCCGCAACTAAACAAAAAGTAAGAACAACAACAATCCCTCAATCAAAAAGATGAGAAAAGGAGACTAAGTTTGGACCAACACATTCCATATAGTCCCGAAACCAAGAGCATGCTAAGATTTTTTAGTTACTTTCTTGGTTTTCACTATTTGTCCATAGATCAACTGCCCGCATTCATAAGGGAGGCATTAATTAAGAAATAAAAAAACCATTGAGGGTATATCCTTATGAAATAAAACATTAATTAGGGAAACAGAGTGGATACACTGCAACAAGTCAACAATATACTCTTTGACTTCTTTGGTGGTCAAATATTTTAAAATAGATTCTCATGAGGCCTTGGACAAGCATGGTTAAACAAGAAAGCAAGGGAACAAAACGTGTCATCTACAGTATAACCTTAAGATGACTATTATTTTACCTTTCTCTTTTTCTATCTAAATGCTAATTTTATTTCCCCCCTTCGTTTAAATCCCACTTTTTTTTCTAAACAAATGAGTCGCCTAACATGCATGACAATAGCACCCTTCGTAGCCTGACCTTTGTGGAATTCCTGACGACTGTTGGTCGGCTTTTTTTTTTATATTCCCAATTTGAATCTACATAGCAGCATTATTAAAAAAAAATTCTACATAGCAGTAGACAGTATATATATATATATATATAAAGACATCTCTCTGCTCTAGCAGTGAATCTGTCTCGAATCTAGTGCCGCCCCCTAGTTAGTAAAAAAAAAGAAGCAGCAGATTCACCACACTTGTAAAAAGAAAGGAAGAAACTCCTGGTGGAAGGTGAATACCTTTTGGTATTTGGCTCTTGGATGGATGCTGGATGATGGAATGGCTGCCCGCAATTTGGTGGGGTAAGTTCTCTGCATCACTTTGTGCTCATATGCTTAGTGGGGTGCCCAATTTTAACGGTCGTGTATATCCATCCGGTGACCATGATTAACTTTTTTTTTCTGTGACTGTGACCATGAGTAGCTATGAGCGCAGCTTTTTGTTTAGTGAAAGCAGTAGGGGAATGATAGATTCCAGGGCGGCGTGTCCGTGCCACGTGTGCATTGGTGGGCCCACATTGGTGACGACTGCTGAGGCAAGTAACATGTGTAGGCTTTGGAGTTAGGAATAATGATGTTTGGAGCACACCCATGCTTGACCCATACATGATTACTTTGGGAAAGGGGTGTGTTATTTTAACTAAAAATAAGCAAATGAAGGCATTCATTCCTTCTCCCCGTTCGGCTTACCCTATATCCGCTTGTGTTCTGGCTTTTTTTTCGATTGTTTTCTCTCACAACAATTCAACCAGAACAGTGTTTTTCAACCAGTTTCAGCCAAAATTCAGCCAGCCGAACAGGCCAAGATAGCTTGATATCTACTCATTATGCTGATTAATCAGGAGTTCATTTGTTTAGTAATCTATTATCAATCCATTTAACTTAAAAATACCCCCATTCAATAAATTCTTATTTGGCAGTGGAAAAAATCCTCAATCCTCGATATGATATTAATTGATGTGTCCATGACATGAGGGAAATTGCGTGATGACATGTTAAGGATTATACCTATTGGTTGTTAGCATTATTATTGGAGTCGAAGGTATATATATGGCACAAATGTTTTTATATGCCGTAATGAGTAAGATTATCTTAAGTAGAATCTATGGCAGGGGAATGCAAAGCTAGCATTAAAAACTTAAGCTGAACATGCCACACACCACTCCGGTGGAGAGTCGTAATTGTTTGTTCTGGTGCAATGCTACTTACTACACTTTCACATTTTTGGAGACATGTTGAGCTAGCTAGTACCTTCACGAACCGTCGGTTGTGACATGAGCACCAAGAGCTAGCCATGATACCAACTGCTAACATTTCAATGACAAGGCGATCTATCATGTTGGAAAACTGGGTTTCAAGAAGTAATTCCCGTGAAGACCTTGCCATGGGTGCCCCTTACCAAGGTATGAGAAGAGGAAAGTGGCCCAAGCTTAGTTAGGGTTCCATAAATGTACTCACAAAAAAAACCCTTTACACGATACCTTCCCTTTTTTATAGGGTACCACTTACTAATTTAGACATTACAATCTTGCCTCTAACCACTCGTGCATATTCCCTAGATATTCCTACGCTAGTTCTAACACTGTGGTGCTCTCCACTTTGTCCTCCCACATCGCCTGTGTTCCTCGGGCCTCGATTTGAGCCCACCAAGGGCCCATTTTCGCTTTTGGGCAGTCTTGCCTCTGTTGTCTTCCAGACGACTCGGTTCTTTGCTCGTATGCAGTGTCTTCATCCTTCTTTACTTGAAGCCTCCGCTTTGACTTTCCATCGCTCCTATGCGGGCTCATGGGCAGACCTTTTCCCGTCCCATCGGTTGCAGGCGGAGGCCTCACTGCGCCTGCAGCCAAGGCTCTGCTGGTCGCCTTTCCAGGTCCCCCGCGTGGACCTCCGCCGCCTCCCAGTGTCTCCGCCCGCCTTGGCTTTCGAGTGAAGGCTCGGCCAAGACCTAACGGTGCTCTCAAGAACATCCAAAGACAACCCGAGGTTGTTGGCGATGTTAGCCTTAGCCTCCGCGAATCCGTGTTCTAGTGTCCCAACAGTTCCCCCCTTGAGGGCGTGGTCCGGTGCGAGCGGGCCGTGAGCCTCAAAATGTGACACTGATATGGAGTGGCGGAGGCTTTCTTTCCCCCTTCCCCCCTAGGCCGCCCATATCGGACCATTTGGTATGGCGACGTGTTGCTTTCTGATTGGTTGCGGTGGCTCGGAGACCGATGCTTTTTCGAATCGACCACATTGTTGGGGAACAGTCATGACCATTGGTACTCAGAGAATCGCGGCGCCCGCTCACGGCCTATATAAGGGGGCGGTGACGCCCCCATCGAACTCCTTGAGCCGGGCCTTTCTTTGCTTTAGTGCTCTTTCCAAGCCCATTTGTTGCGTTGTTGTCCCGCGGCAGAGTGGCTTAGGACTTAGGATTTTTTTCATGGCAATGCCGCTTTCTTGATTTTGCGCTGCTTTTGAAGTGGCTTTTTCATGCAAGTTCGACCTTCTCTGCCTAGCTTTAGCAGTCCTTACTCCCCGCTTGCTCGGCGTTAGGTCGAGGGGTTGGTCGTGGAGGTACAAGGAGTGCATGTACATTTCGGCAGAGGCTCAAGACGGTTTGGAGGGCATCGAGGCTTCCATTGGAGACTTAGTTCCTGTTTCTCCTGCCAAAAAGTCAAAGGTTCAGATGGCCAAGTCCTAGGATTTCGGGCCTTCGCTCATGACGGAGGAGGCAATAAAATCACTGGAGGAGGAAGGTTGCTTTCTGGAGGGAAAAGGCTGTCTCCCTCGTGGTGAGACGGTTCCTCGGCCAGAGGTAGATGAGGCCGTCGTGTTCAAGGACTTTTTTCTTATGGCCTCCGGATCCCTCCGATCTACTTCCTTCGGTTGGTCTTGGAGACCTTCAAGGTACACCTCCATCATCTCACGCCCAACGATATTTTGATGCTAAGCAAATTTTGCTATGCTTGTGAGACGTATGGGGCTCAGCCGGACCTGGACACCTTCTGCACATATTATGAGCTTCAATGCCGGCCCAAGAAGGCAAAGGTTGATGGCGTGGAGGTGGAGTACCAGTTCACCAGCTGTGCGTTTATGGCAAAGAGGGCGCAAAAGGAGGGCGGCTTGGAGATATCTTTTGCCCAGAAGAACAAGTGGGAGAAGGATTGGCCCCGGTACTGGTTCTACGTGAAGACCCCCGACGTTGTTCCGAAGACTGGGCCGAAGGTCAAGAAGTACCCCTTCGCTTCAATCATGGGAGAGATGAAGCCTTCGACCCGCGTGTGGCCCCCTTCGGAGGTCGATGCGGAGAGAGCAGCGTGCGACGCTGCTTTTGTGAAGGCCTACCATTTTTCCGGA